GCTTAGAGGGGTGTTTGTTTTCAGTTGGTCTCTTCATTCCAGTAGGTTTGCTAGCTCACACTTCCCTTTTTCTACCAGACTTAATAACCTGCATTTCATTGGCCTGAACTTTCTCTTTTCTTGGAAATGCAACAGAACTTAAAATGTGAAGGGAATTGCAAAAATATGTAGCATGTTCTCATCCTCTAACTTAAAAGAAGGCCTGTGAAAGGCTGTGCTGTTCTCTACAGAGATCCTCACATGTCAGAAAAGGTAGTGAACTATACAGTTCCATTTATCTGACAGATATATTCCAACTTTGGTTTATTTGAGACACTGCAATAAAATTCGAATAATAAAACTGTTAAAAATAAATGCACATCTATTTCTCATTTTCAGTCCATACGTCACTAGCAGATGCTGAAATCTCAAGAGAATTTCACAAATGCACAGGATGCCTCAGCAGTGCTTAGTTTTCTGTTTGAATCTGATTTAGCTGAAAGGTGCAGCTAGACAAATAGCTCCTGACTGACTATCTGGATGAAAGAATCAAAGACTGAAAGTTGTCCTTACTTCTAAAGCAAATTGTAATCTATGCTTATCCAGCTCAAAATTCAGTTTCTACAAAAAATATCTTAAAGTCTCAAGGGAGAACTAATAATCTATAGCTACTTAGACAGAAGTTAAAACTTGGGTGGCTGTCAATCATTTGGATCATGCAGGGAGGGAAGAACAAAACAGCAAAAAAGGGTGGTGAGGTTAAATATCAGAGGAAAACAAGTTTCATAACTTGTGGAGGATCCAAGTCATGAGATGAGCTGTGAAGGGGAAATTAGAAGTCCTGCAGAGTGTGACCTATTACTGAGGACTAAACTCAACAACTATAATTTACATATTGCTTATTTTTCAGTAGCCTCTGAGTGTGTAAACCTGGAACAAGCTTGTAAGCAGTCACAATCTCTGCTGTGGAGTACCCATTACCTGAAGAGTGAATAAATGAAATTAGCCAAAAGAAGAAAGCTAAAAGATATTACAGTGCACTTAGGCAAATAAACAGGGAGCACTGTAGTTCTATTCACTGAAGTATTTATTGACCAATAGGTTGTATGTCGAGGGGAAAAAATAATACTACTAGAAATAAATGGAAACCTAAGCTGGGATGTAATGACCATTTTGAAACTATGCAGAGAAACACAGGAGCATTGTTAATGGTTTTGGTTTTAAGATTGTTTTATTTCTAGTTAAATTCTTAGATATTTTGGTGACAACCAGAAAACATCTAGGGAAGAGGAGTGCCTGAATGTCCTGCCTCTCCGAAGCCACTGTCAGAGGCCACATGTCAGGAATCTGACAAGCTGTAGTTCAAATTTGCAAAATTGATTTAGTGTGGACAAGCTGTACCACAGCTGAGCTCTTCTTTCTTAGGAGCCTACCCTTAAAGACTGGAATATTGAATTTGTAGAGTTGTCTCACTTCTCTGCTTTCAGAGCTTTCAGTGCGTGTAAATAATTGCATATTCATTGCAGCAAGCCCTGGAAATAGCTGTCCTCTAATATCCTAACTATGAAGCTCATTTTCTTAGGCCTGAAGTGATTTCTCTTGCATTGAGTCACAGAGCCAAAAAATCAATTAGTTGTGTCCTCTAATCAAGACTAATTTATGGATTACTAAAATCAGATTTGATGCAACTCAAATGTTTGCAAGATTATTCACTGGAAAAAAAGCCTCTAGCTCTAATTAATTAGCAGCCTACAAGATGGCATAGTTTCCAGGCATGTGAAGGGTAGGATTTTTTACTCAGATCTGCTTCTAGACCAGACCTTACTATTGGGTTTTAGCAAATAAACTGGTGTGTAAGCATGAATAGCATAAGCACCAGGTAATACTAGTGGAATTGGTAAGAATTTGCTGTAATTCCAGTGTTTCTGGGGATGTTAAATGTTTGCTCAAATACAAATGTAAGGGGTAAAACAAATAGAATTAAACAATTTTCTGTTGTACTTGTGGCCCTGAACTAAATTCAAGATTCAGGAGAGCAATGGGTGTTACATCTGGGGCTTAAAAAATTCTCAGGTAGTTAAAATATTTGCTAACTTCCCACTCTGTTTAAAAGATTCAACTCAGCCTCAAGCTGACTTGGAGATTAACAGGCTGAAAGAAACAGTTTAGTAACCAGGACCAACAAATGACCAAAATCTCATTCAAGAAGAATGACAAGAGTCATGTTCCCTGAAGCAAACTACCCTGTAGCTATTTCTGCCCATGTGTTTGAGCTCATCATTATCCTAATCACATCTTGCATTACTTTTAATAACTTAGATATTGTCCCAGTTTTGATTTAGAGCAAATTCATTCCAAGTAAATCCAGTGTTAGCTGTTGAATTTTGGGATTAAAGTAATTTTATCATTCTTTGTTTAGCTGGAAAAAAATACAGGAGTTTCTTTCATCACAGCATTGCATATATTCAGATGTTGGCTGCTAGTAAGGACAAGCTGTAACTAATAACATTTTTCTGCTTGACTTGGTGCCTGTAGAGTGTATTTCACTGTTCAGTAACCTGTTGAACTAGGTGAGAAGGGAAAGGGAAAGACTGATTTCCATATTATCTGCACGTGCTTGGTACACAACCCTTTGAAGAAATTGCATAATTAGAAAATAGGATGATGTGTAAAGGATATTTTTTAAATATATAGTCCTTTTTCAAATGTGTTTGGTTCTAAATAGCCATGTGAATATTAAAGTAACAACTTCTCATTCCTACTAGGTTGCCTAGAATAACTAAACAAAAAAAATAAGCCTTGCAAAATATGCTAATTTGGGCCTATCATGATAATTTATTTCTAATGTATTCCTCCTCTCCCCGTCAAGGCCCTCTCAACATTATACAAAGAATTATAAACTCTGGTAGAAACACCATGAAATATGTACCATAACATACCATAAACAAAATAATTAGACCAGACCTGAGCTGTGTTGTTAAAAGGGGGTTTGAAAGTGCTACAGGTGGCAGCTGGTTGCAGCCCAGAACACCAGTCCTTACAAGTAAGTCCAACTGTTCACCTTTTTTTTTACTTTAATCAAAATATCCACATTTTATTTGATGGCCTGTAGTTAACTCCGTGATCAAAGTGTACATATTGTTCTGCTTCAACTTATTTTACTGTACTTAAAAGCTCAAGATTGGAGCTGCAGGTGCCATTATACTGCTGAGCACTTAGCTTTGCAATTCCTTCTCTCCTTGTCTCGATAGCAAGGAGCAGTCACTGCTGCAAATATGGGACTGTCTCCTGTGTCTCACTTCTGATTTACTTTTCTAGTGAGTCTCTTGTTGGGAAAAGGTGCTGGATAGGAGGCTGGGAAGAGAGCAGGCTGGTTTTGTGTTGAGCTCTTAAAGCAGTAATGCTGTTGGCCTGTGACACCTTCTGCCATATGTGGTGGGTTTGATTTCAAAGGACTTTCCTCAGAGTGAATTGACAGGATAGCCTGTGTCCTTTAGTCATGCCTTTTATGTATGCCTAGACTGCCAAAGTAGAGTTTCCACAGAGCCCAATGGCTGTATCAGTTCAGAGAGTAGGGATTCACTGCTTTTTTTGTGGGGCAGGTGCTTGGCCTCAGAGAGCTGCATCAAAGCCCAGTAGTTCTTCTGAAGAAGATCCAGTTGACTATGGTGCTGTTTGAGGACACTTTTGCCCCTTTGACAGGGATAACCACTCTTGCAGCTCTGGTAACCGAAAGAGCATTTCCAGTTTGCTTTAGAAAACAGAACAGATGCTTGGGATGGCAATGGACAACATTCAAGTACTGACACATAGTGTGACCACCACCTAGCAAACATACACTACCCAAGGAGCACATCTCTTCCTTTCCTTGGGGAAGCAGAACAGCAGCAAAACAGCTACATTTGAACCAATCTAGACAACTGTGTGTGTGAAATTCTCTGTGTATAGAATCATAGAATCATCAAGGTTGGAAAAGACCTCCAAGATTATTGAGTCCAGTCTTTAATGATTAGTGTCACAATTGCAAACCATGAAAAGGTAAAAATTATCTTTTCAAAAGAAGTCCTTAAAATATTACCTTTCAGCTTTCAAATATTAAAAGAGACACGATGTACTTTTTGTCTTTTCCTCTGAAAAGAGAGAAAATGTTCTGTTAAGAGTCAATTTGATCAGTCAGGTTACAGCAAAATGTCATTCTCTTTTAAAGAGAAATGTTTTTACAATCCATGTTATCCAGCCTTCTTTCTCTGCATTATCACTTCTGCTACATTGTGTTTTCCTCTTTGATCATTTTTGTGACGAGGGCTCCATCACAAAATCTATATTAGGCTACAGCCATTCTGGTTTCAACCAGAATTTGTTGATAATATAGCTTATGCTGAATTCTCAAGCATTTTCCCATCAGAAATGGCTGTTTCACTCACCTGGAGCCTTTCTGGAGGAAGGTGTTTATTTTTTACTGAATTTTCCATAAAAAAAACCCTTTAAATCCCCAAAACCATGTTTCCAATTGCAAAACTACTTCTGTTTAAGAAGTATTTTTGACTGTGTTATGATACAAAGCAGAAGGGCTGATACTGGAATAAATTACCTGAAATGAGCCCTTTCGGTATGGGAAATTTCAAGCTTTTATGTTGTTGCTCAGAACAAAAGTCTTCAAGTGACTGTTAAAAGTTCCCATAGCACAGAAATCTCCTATTTCAGGTAAGCAAGAGCAGCAAGAGATCTATAATTTGCTTCTTATTTTAGGAAATTACAGTACATAATAGCTCAAATTAAAAAGTAGTTGAAGCAGAGGGTTGGGGTTTTTTTCCCCTCTATGATACTGCAAGAGTTAATCCAATTAAGTTATCTGCAGTGTGTTTCTTGACTCTTGTTACAATAAAGCAAATTAATTGATTTTTTTTTCCCTGTTCCATTTTGAGAGAAAACCAGTTTTTCTAACATCTTCTATCAGTGAGAGCTCAGGAGAGCTGCAGTGGTTCAGTAGCTGTTAATGATACCTATTTGTTTTGCTCTAGTTTTCCAGATCAAGATATTCGCAGAACAGCAGTCCAGCAATTGGAAAATATGTCAAATGATGAATTGTTAGAATACCTCCCACAGCTGGTGCAGGTAAGGAGGAAATTGAGAGCCAAGGAAACCTTCTGTCCGGATCAATAACTTCATTTAAATACTTTTGATGCTTTCAGTTGGGTTGATATATTGTAAGAGGAATAAAAAAGAAAGGCTGCTCAGCTGATGCAGTTAAAACCAGGGCTGAAGTATAGACTGTTTCCCACTTAAGGGAATGTAATTGCTTTGGCACAGATTGAGCTTTTATATACATTACATCAAGGTACTTTCAAGTAACAAAGAGAAATGAAGAAATGCCATCTGAACAAGAGAAACTCTGCTCTAGTCACCAAACCAGGCTGTTGGGCTTCAGTGCAGTCAAGGAAGCACATGGTGCTGCAACAAATCACAGTTTTCATGATACCACCTAAACCAAGAACATCACTGTCAGCACAGAGTAACCTGGACATTTGGGTGTAGAATTATCTCTTTAGGGATGGACATTGCATTTCACTGGAAATTCATGTTTTGCAAGTTGCGGCCTCACTATTTCCAAAGCAGTTGGTGATGGAGTAAATCCTGTGTTGCAGCTGAGCAGGAACTTCTGAAATCTTTATCCCCTTACTTCATAGGACGGTGCACATGGATGACTTACTATTTCACATTTCAGAGTTTCTCAGGGAGTTTTTGTGTGTCTGTGATATATGCATATCTAGATAGATATCTACTAGATAGTTAGATATCTACTACTTCACTCCTGTGAAGCTGTGGAGCCATCACAACCTTACAGTGTGCACACACTAATGTGACCTTTCACCTTCCACAGCTTCTGTGTCATGAACAAGTTTAGTTTGCAAACAAGATGATCAGATTAAAAAAAACCCTAAATCTAGCACTGATAGTTTGAAGTGGAGGAAGAAAAGCTGCATATTTACATGGATGTTAGCACAGCCAGAGTCAGAGTGGTATCTGCCTGCCCTACAGGTGGTGGCAGACCCTTGTGTGACCCTTGTTGCTTTGCTCATTGTATTGTTAGAGCAATCTCCTGTGTCAGATTGCTTCATTCAGACTAAGCACTGGGTCCTTTCTGATTAGTTTTCTTGGAAAGGCACCAAAGGCAGCAAAAAATTGATTCTTATTTTCAATTTATCTGTTAAGGTACTCAAGTTTGAGTGGAGTCTTGAAAGTCCTCTAGTGAAACTCCTGCTGCATCGTTCTCTTCAGAGCATACAAGTAGCCCATCAGCTTTACTGGTAAGATCATTTGCCATTTCTACCACTGTTGCAATGAACCTAATTCATGATTCTGTTGGTTACAAGCTCTCTTTTTGTTTAAAATCAACAGCAAAAGTAGTTGTTCACTCCTTTATTCCCCTTTCAGCACTGGGTATGGGTAAATTTTATAAAAGACCTGCTTCTACCTGCCTTCATCCTGCCCCTGGGTGGGAGGGAGAGGAGGAAGTTCTGTTTCCTTAAGATACCATGTGTATTTTTCAGCATGTAAAAATAGTCTTCCTCAAAATTTGCAAGCTCCAGACAGCATTGGCTTACTTTTAAAGGATGCTGCTTGCGTGATTTCTCTGACTTCTCTTGAAGTTGTCAGAATTCTCATGTTTATCAAACTGTGTGTCTTACCCGTTTGCATATCAGTCTGACTTGTGAGGGTAAAGTTTCCAATAGTTCCTATTCTGGATTATGGAGATGTACCAGGCCTGGCAATAAGTGCCATTCACCACCTGTCTCTGCAATACAAGGAGCCCTCTCCTTGTATTGTTGAATTAGATGCTTATTCTGTTTGCTGTGCTGTTACCTCAAGGCTCTCTGAACATGAATGTGACTTTCTGCTGTCTGAACATCTGCCCTGTGATCTGAAAATCAAACTCGTGTGTGTTTTCTTTTTTTCCCCCATCTTTAGTAATGATGGATGAACTGAGCTTTCATTTACAGTTCAACTGGTTCAGACCCCTCAAAGCAAAAGCTTTCCTCCCTGCAAAGGGATGACAACAGTTTGCAGTGTAATCATTTGGTTGATGAAGTGTGAGGTTAGAAAGAGCATAGATCATACTTTCATACCTGCATGGTCTCTGGAAGTGTTAGTGGAGATAAAACAGAATTATGACTGTTTGCTTTGCTGAAATGAGGTGGATAACAATAATGTGCCTAATGAGCACATCTGTCAGATAAAGAGGAAGCACATTTAGTGAGGCCTTTTCCTGACAGTGCCTGAAATATGTCTGAGATGATTTCTACTAATATTAAACTTAGTCATAGTGGATATAAAATGTCCAGTCTGGAGCTCTTAAATATGCCCCAAGACATGGTTGTTTCCTGTGCAATTAGAAATGATGTCTAGGGTTCAGTGGACAGTGAATCATTGGCTTGCCTGTGTTTTCTTTAACTCCTCTCTTCTCAGAAGAAAAAAGACTAAGAGTCTGCAGTATTCTTCCTCTTTGCAGCGTAGAACTGTATAAATCCCTGTTTTTTCCCAAATTTTACTCAAACTGTCCAATATTCTAAATTTGGATAATATAGAGCAGATATTCCATGCTGAATAATAAATATCCTTATCTGGCACACTGCAATTTAATGTGGTGAAATACATTTATTTTATGTATAGCTTAGTGTATGGCATAAGTATATCCATATCAAATAGATTATTTCTCAAGGTTCACTTCATTCTCTGCCTTTCAGCTGGTAGTAGCCCTGGTGATGCAAGGTACCTCTTTTATTTAATTTTTCTGTTCAAATGTTTCAATCTAGACTGAGAACTTCGTGTCACACAGCCACACATCTCTTAAAATTTTGCTACTTGTAGTCATCACAATATATACACCTTTTTCCCCTTTGGTTGTTCTGCTTCACCATATTCTTCAGTAATAAACTGCTTTCTACCTGACATTCCAATTTATGTAATTATTCCTATTCCTGTTCCAATATTTTAAAAGGCATTTTCCCAAGCCATAAATTCTACTCACAAAATTTAACAGCAATTTCATGGGGTTTATTAATAAAGCCTTAAATAATTAATGAAGGCTTTCCTTCACAAATTGAATTTCAGTCCTTATAAAAGTGAGGGAAAACAGGTTTTCTTCCACTTATCTCTAAAGAGACTTTGAAAAGAAGCTCAATGATTTAATAATGTGCATGTACACACATAACTGCTTTTAAGAAATGCAATTAGGGTACTTTTTATTCTCAAGTGTTGCATTCTGTTTCATTACCAAATTAACAATCAAGCAAGGACTGGTAAAAACAAACTTTAATACCAAGTTCATATTTTTTAATTGTAATGGATGACATTAATATTCTACTCTTAAAGAATACAATATTGTGTACAATGTACCTGCCCAAAATAAAACTTGGCAAAGACTCTAATGCAATTCAGAAAACTGGTGATGTGATTTCAGAACCACTGGGGGAAAGTCAACTGGTTTTAACTCCCACATTTTACAACACTCTCATAAATCTATAAACTAGTTGCTAGAAATGGTGGTGACTGTCAACACTAATTTGTTTTAATGACAAATATTACTTATAATAGCATGTCAGTTGTTGAAAATTGACCCCATTTCCCTGCAGGCCAGAGATAAGCAGCTACCCAGCAATGGTGTGCCAGCTCATCACCTTCGTAATATCAATGTTGGGTAGTAAATTGTTAACTCCTTTCTATCAAGCAGTGATAAGTTTGTCTGAAGATTTTATTTTACAAATTGTGGGACACTAATTGTCAAAGGTGGACAGAACAGAGAGCATTCATTCTTGGGGCACATCTTTGTTGTAAATCAGGATAGCTTCAGTCTGTTTCATAGTATGTTAAGGGGTTGGAATGGACCTTAGAGATCATCTAGTCCCAACCCCTGCCCTGGGCAGGGACACCTCCCACCAGAGCAGGTTGCTCAAGGCTTTATCCAACCTGGCTTTGAACACTGCCAGGATTGGGGCAGCCAAAACCTCCCTGGGCAACCTGTGCCAGTGTCTCACCACCCTCACGGGAAAAACTTCTTCCTAATATATCATCTAAATTTCCCCTCTTTCAATTTATACTCCTTATCCTGTCACTGCAGTTCCTCAGAATTCCTCTCCAGCTTCCCTGTAGCCCTTTCAGATCCTAGAAGGTGCTGTGAGGTCTCCACCCAACCTTCACTTCTGCAGGCTGAACAGCCCCAACTTCCTTAGCTTGTCTTTGTAGGGAAGGTGCTCCAGTCCTCTTGTCAGCTTTGTGATACATTCTTTTATCTGCTGCTATCTTCCACAATTTCTCTCTGATACTAGTCTTTTCCCATCAGAGCTCCTGTGAGGGGGGAAGACTGGAGCAAGTTTTCCCCATTTCCTAGAGCTGTGGTGACAAGTTATTAAACTGGTTCTAGCAAAGCACAAAAGTTGCTTGAGGGGAAAGAAACCTGCTGAGCCCTTTTGGGCCCTTGTGCTTGCTGAAAATCACTGTTTCTCTCCTTGCTCCTTGTTGTTTCACACACAGGTGGGTTTTTGTCAGCTTTTGTGCTAGAGTTTTAGTCCATCCCTCAGTCTCTGGCACCTTGCCAGGTGGTTTTCCTCTTGCTTGAGCATTTTTGGCTTTTAGCTACTTGCACAGGTGGCAGCTGTGGCATAGAATGCAAACAGCTGGCTGGGGCAGCAGGTGGCCAGGAGTGTGTCTCACAGATGGTTGACTTCCACAGGAGGATTAAGTAACGGGGACAACCACAGTGTCCTCTAGGATCTGTGGCAGCTCCTTGAAGGTGGTGCTAGGAAACAGGTCCCATTGTCATGGAAGAGTATGAGAGTAAATTTTGCTGGAGCAGGAGGATCTGGTGTGCTTAGCTCAAGAAAAGAAAAAGTAGAGTGAAAACCTTGCTGAAGGCAAAATGTCCTTTTGTAGTTTGTCTTCTAAGTCACTAACAGTTTGCAGAACTTTCCTAGTTTTCAACATTTCGAAACTTCATTTTGACTGCAAATCCAGGGAAAAGGGAGTAGTGTCCTATCTTCTGCAGTCCACATCTTAGGGAAAAGTAAGAATGTGAGATGAAAAAGGAACTCTTAGTGGAATCCAGCACACTGAAAACAGCGTGAATTACACTATTGATTTTGTGGCTAGAACAAAATATTTGATTTTTATGTCTTTTTCTATATAAAGAAAAGAAAGAACTGTAAGAAGCAAAAATAAGCAATGTATAAAAGTTTAAAAACACCCTAGTTACATTTTTCTACTATTGGGAGCTTTGTTGTACTTTAATACTTTCTTTTCCAAAATTGTTAGCTCTTACTTTCATTCAGCACTGGAACAATAGACTATTGCTTCATATTTTCTGAAAGAAAATATATCTTTCACTGTCAAAACTGATCTATGTTGACCATAATTTCCTTGAGGACTTCAAAAGAAGGAATAAATCAAGCAGATACTCATCTGTCCAACACTCTTAATTATCTGAACATTAAACAGGTGACCATCCTCCAGCTCTTTCTCTTCCTGCATTATAGTGTCTTTCTCTGACAGCAGTTATCAAGTCTGCTAGTTATTAATGAACTTCCTAAATAGCTGTGTAGAGCAGGCTGAAAAGCCCAACCCATTCAAATGACAGGAATGTAAATACAAGAGACATCTGGTTTGGTTTGTGTTAATTTGAGCCTTCTAACTGATCAGAATCGAAAGATCACTTAATCATATATGTAACCTTAAACCTGTGAATAGCCAGTTCAAATACATGTTTGATTCAACCAAGTAAGGATTATAAATTTCATCTGAATTCAGAGTACTTGATGTGATCATCAGTGTGTTTTGACTGCAGAGAACCTCAGCCACAGATCATACCTAGGGAATTTAGGTCTGAACTCAGAATTGTTACTCATGAAGTGCCAGTCATTTGGAGACTTTTTTTTCCCCCTACTTACTTATGTGTATAGTAAATAACACCATTAGAACATTATTTTTGTGAGCTAATGATTCAGCTGTCTCCTGTGCTAAGTGCTGCATTATTAGCCATGTGGGACTTGGATTATTGCCTTGGAAAACAGACGGATAATTAGTTTGTTTCCTAGTTTACAGACTTTCAGTGTTCTCAGACTCCAGTTTTAGAAAGAGATGGTGTCAAATGGCACAAAGAGATTTGTTGTGAAGAAGCACAAAGAAGTAACATAACTGTTGGGTCTGACCTTCACAGAGTGAGTGGGAAAATAGTGCATTTCACTCCCCAAAACCACATCTTACATTTCACTAAGCACACTGTAGATTTTAAGAAAAAAAATAGCATTTTAGACTG